AAAAAAAAAAAAAAAAAGTTAGTTAAATGTCACTTTTAAGCTTAGCCAAACACATTCTATCAATGTAGCTTACAACTGAAGTCACGCAGTTGGCATGGACTTGAATTGGTTAACTGATCATAGTAAAATGTATGAGAATTTCTTTTTCCTGATATTAAGATAAAATTTCATATACTAGCATTCTTGATAGAGTAAGATGAGTAGCTATACAATATGTCACCCAGTTCTTTTGAGAGTATATCTTCAAATTGATAAAATATCACTGGAAAAATTACTTAATAGGCACTGCCATGAACATATTTATATCAGACAGAATAAGCATGGTGCATTTGCACTTTTTGAAATGGAAAAATATACTTTCAACTAGTTGCCAGATTTTTCTTCTTGATAAAAATAATAGTGCAAAGTAGTCTGATTAAGAGGTGGGTGGTAAGATGAAAAAGGCATGAGATCATAGTTTTAATGCATGCAAAAGATGCTGGCAGCTATATAAAAAACGCGGCTATAATTCGTGGGTTTCATTACTTTAAATGTCAAATTTGTGATGAGAGTGAAATGTTCGGATAATGCAAGAGTGTAAATAACAATAGCACCCTTGTCTAATTCGGCACTAGTTGTAATGACGAACAAAGGCTATTTCTCAAATATAGCCTCCAAAAATTAGTTGATTATCAACCTGGTCAGCAAGAAGAGTCACATTCGAACCAGCAGCAAGTGCCACAATTCTGAACTTATCTGGATTCTCTGCAACTATGTCCAATGTCTGCAGTGCATAAACTTGAAATGTTTAGCAACCGAAGGATATCATCATATAAACACATTTGCTCTACCAGATATGCAAAGTGAAAAATAAAAATCACCGCTCTGAACCAATGTGCCCACGTTTACAAGCAATCAAGAACACAGATTAAAGAAGTTGATCAAAGTGCTCGGCAACTAGCCAACTACAACAAATAACGCTTTGTTCCAATACATTTGGATTTGACTACGTGAGTACTAATTCGCCACAAGTTGATTGAAGTCCTAATTGATGAAAAGCTTCATCTAACTTTAATCAGATATTTCACCTGGGTACCAATGGAGCCAGTAGATCCAACAATTGAGATAGGCTTTGGACCATCCCAGCTTTTACGGCCCGGTTCTGCAACAGACCGTCCTGGCCAAGCCGGAGGAGGTGGCTGAGCTAAACACTGGACTCTCTTTGCAGCAGTTCTTCCACAATCCTGCTTTTTCAAAGCAAACCCACCTGAAGAAATTCACCAAAATAGACATAAAGCAAAAAATAGAAAAAGAAACATCCTTAAAAGGTCTCTTCAAACCAAAAGACAAAGATTATTAGAGTTGCAGATTTTAGATCTGTCTTGGATAAATAATCTAGATAGCTAAGGATAGCAAAGAAGAATCAGACTTTTAAACTAAGAAATTAAAATTGCACCGACAAATATATAATT